GCCCGAGAGGGACTACACGTCCCCAGCGACCCCCTTCAGCTTCTCTGTCATGGGAATTTGGTTGACGGTGCATCCTCCTTTCCCCGCGCGACGATCGAGCTCCTTTGGCGGCTCGGTCGCCTTCTTCTCCCATGGCGGATCGCGGAGGATAGCCACGATCGCACTGACGTCACTCGACAATCGCTCTTGCTCAACGCGAACAATGTTGATCTCCTCCGATATGCGATCCTGCCCATCTTTTAGCTTCTCCTGTCCTCGCGGTTGATGACGTCCTGAGCTTCAACCCTAGCCGAGATCGCCTGTTAATGACCATGGAGGGCTTGGAGTTGGTGCCCTAACTTCTTGTCGCCGCCGTGTTCCGGGAATGAAGACTTCATTGTCACCTTGTGATGCGGCATGGTCTCCTGGCTTGGTTCACTCGGAACCATGCTCTTATACCAATTGGCGCGTGATAGGTTCTCGCGCATCGTAGAACTGGAGCTTTTCAACTACGAACTAAGGAATGCGATAAAGAAGAGCTAATTTAGTACTAATACTAGACTTTATGGATCGAATGAACAAAACGAAGAGCAAAGGTACATATTTGTAGGATAAAGTCCCACAAACCCCTTTACTCTTAAGACAAGGAAACCCAGTCCCAAAGCGACAAATAAAAAATATGTTGTGCAGTAAGTAGTTTGATGTACGATATGGTATGCACTAGACCTGATCTTGCACATGCTGTTAGTGTTGTCAGCAGGTTCATGATACAACCAGGGAAGGAGCATTTGTAGGCTGTGAAGAGGATCTTCCAATACCTTAAGGGTACATATGATGTGGGGATTAGCTTCGGAAGTGATACAGACTCGGGCTATGCTTGAGATGATGACACGAGGAGATCGATGACAGGTTGTATATTCACTCTTGGGAGTTCTGTAGTGAGCTGGAAGGAAACTATGCAGTCTGCGGTGACTTTGTCTACTACTAAGCCAGAGTATATGGCATTAACAGAAGCTGCTAAGGAGGGAATATGGTTGAAGGGACTAGTTGGTGATCTGGGTCTACACATGATCAGACTGTGGTGTATTGTGACAGTTTGAGTGCAATATGCTTGGCCAAGGATCAAGTCCATCATGAGAGAACTAAGCACATCGATGTGAGGTATCATTTCTTGAGGACAGTGAAGATGATTAAAGTAAAGAAGGTTGGCACCGCGGATAATCCTGCTGACATGTTCACGAAGCCGGTTCCACATGGCAAGTTCCAACAATGCTTGGACTTGCTGAATATCTTGAGTGGGTGACTCAGCCCTATGGGGCATTGATGGCAGGAGAGAGAGAGAGGGAGCAGAGTACATCGGAGATTTCAGAGGAAGAGGATTCAAGTCAAGGTGGAGATTTGTTAATTTTACTTGAATCGGAGTATCAGTCGCTACGACCGTAACCGTTTTCTTTACCAGATTGGATTAGATTTAGACCCACATGGAGAAGTATAAATACTTCTCATCTCCTTGATACAGTGAAAATTGGCTCTCTCTTGTCCGTGGACTAGCTAACACACATTGTGTTAGTGAACCTAGTAATCGTATGTCATGTGCTTTCTGTTTTCATTTTCTTGCTTTGTCGATTCCGACGATTTCCTTATCCGTAGCAGTGCAATTGTAAAACAACGCACCACTGTCCACTACATAAAGTCTTTCCATTGCTGGATATAATATGTTGCAACTAGAATGAATCAATACAAAAAGCAAGTAAGGCTTTTATGAAGGACTTGAATGAGGATTGCATGATGTCGAGTCCAATTGAGATGCCTGTGATCTAGCACTTCATGAATCTCGTGTGAATCATCACCTTATCTATATTCGCAACGATTCCTACACCCACTCAGTTACCTAAAGCATCAAGTTACTATTTATGAGATTATAATCGCTATTCTGAGAAGACAATCCAAATTAAAATGATGTTAATCCTCACTTGTAATAAGACGAATAAAAAAATTCACAAATATCACAAATTCATTCAAGGTTTACTTTGAGTAGAAAGACTTAGGAGTACTAGGGTTGGGTTTTTAGAATTTAAAGTTTAGGGTTCAACTTGCCAGCAACAAGGAGAATTCCTATGTATCTAACTAGTAGCCTACCAATTGAGAATCCTGTTTTTTAGGAGAGAAACGGTTTATTTTAATAGCTTTGAGTTACTAAAAATATACAAATAGTAAAACTGTATTCTCTGCTCTGCAAGATTCCAATTTCCATGTTGAGGACTGCACATCTGGTGGTGTTAATCGAGTCCTAATTATATATTCTTTCAAGTAAGTACAGTACACACAATTTGATATAATCACTGTTCTGCTGGTCGGATTTGCATGTGCACGTGAACGGCGCGGACTTATCATCTGATATATGGCTAGGTAGCTAGTTCATCGGGGCGGTGTTAATTATTGGATCCTAATCTCTATTCTTTCAAGTAATTATGCATGTGTTACGCATCGGTAGACGTTATATATATACGTGCGCCGGACAGTGAGTTCAGTGTTCAGACTTAAGTAAATATGCCATAGATTCCGTTTTTAGGCATGTGCACCCATCATTTTTTAGTTTCCGTTTTTAGAAAATAAATAAATATGCCATAGATTCCTTTTTTCCCCCACACTAGTTTATCAGTGTATTAAGTATCAACAATGTGGAGAAATTGTTTTCATTTGCTACCTACCGACACTTGGTCAAATTCACGTAAAACATGACAATAAATTTATTAATTAAGTCCATTTTTATTTATTTATGGGTTTTCTTCATACTTCCAAAACTGGATAGGGTTGTTACCAAATAAGACAAGTTGTTGAGACAATTCATATTATCAGTTATTTTAGTCTTAATTTGCTGGTTTTCATGATATAGAGGTTTGTCAATTTGATGTTAAGAGTGCTTTCCTTATATGGAGACTTACGTTCAACAACCATGGGATGGAAAACAAAGTATACATGCTTGAGAAAAGCCTCGTATGGATTGAAGCACGCTCTCAAAGCTTGGTACAAAATGATATAATATTCAGCAGACAACCGGCTCTTACGGATATACATTATTCAAACAGAAATTTCACTAATATTACAAAATCATATAAGATTTACTTTTATTTGATAGATTTAGAGTTGGGTTTCAGAATTTTTTATTATTTTTTTAATCCCCACGTCGGAGAGTTAACGGAGAGTGACTATATATGCAAAGATTCTCATACTACAATACAATTGTGAATTGCAGGGTTTATCAGTAGATATCTTGGTCGCAGTTAACTTTTAACTTAATCTGACTTTAAAGTAATTAATAAAATTCAACAGTAGATATCTTGGTCGCAGTTAATTTCTCACTAGCTAATGACATAATTAGTAATTAAGCACCTGTCATCAAGTACACAGCCCAAGACGCTTTCACGCACCAATTATTATCGAGATTCCACAAACACGCATACACAAGCGCCTGCTTAATTACTGTAATTAGTAAAGCCTATAAGCTTGGAGTTTCACGCAATTATCATCGAGATTCGACACAATATTAGTATATGAAATATAATATCATTAAACGCCACGGGCTGCGTACGTAAGGCAATGCGTAAGCTTCATTTTCTAAATGCTTACCCCCCAATGTTCGATACAACTGCAACCCAAAACTTTTAGCAACGAAATAATAAAGGATAACAAAAAGTATGAATTATTTCTAGTGTTATATTTAGCGATGGACCGTTGCGGTTGCGGTCTCCTAATTTGGACATGATGCCTCATGATTTTGGCGACCAAAGCTATCGAAAGTAAATGAGTGGTATCTAAAAGTATATGGCCATCTAATCAGGTGAGCCGTCACCAAAACCAGGAAATTGGTCATCTAATTGTCAGTTTGTATGTTGATGGTCTGATTTACACTAGCAACAATTCTGAGTTAACTATAGAATTCAAGGCTTCTATGAACTCTGAATTTGAAATGATTGATCTGGAAAAGATATGTATTTCTTGGCAGTTGACATCATTCAACAAAAGGCTTGAATATTTATTTATTGTCAACAGAAGTAGTTTAAGGAGATTTTGACAAAGTTTAAGCTTATTAAAAGGGCAAAAGCGTACATATATACTAGAGAGAAGAGATATTACTAATGTGCTAGCTATCCCGGTCGAAATTACTATGTACTAAACAATCAATTCAAGTCCTATTGTCATAGCTCAATGAATTAATTATATAGCCTTATGCTCGATTTCCTATTTAAGATCGCATAGCACCTTATTTAATCGACTGCCGCTTCGATAAGTTACTATGTCACATGAAATAGGTTCAGTTTTTTTTTATAATGGTGACATTATTTTATTATGAAAAAAAAAACAAAAAAAAAAAAAAACAACAAACAACAAGCACAAGACAGATCCCAAAATCCAAGTCCATCCAGCTGCAGTAGCCAATCAAAAACCCAGTAAACAGCAGCATCCAAAGATGCAGACCAGAAACAGAAAAGGGTCTCTCCCACAGTAAACAGCAGCATCCAAGGATGCAGACCAGAAAAAAAAAATGAATTAGTGGCCATGCAATACAAAGCATTAAGCAATTTCATGCAATAGAGATTGGAAGAAAAGAAATATGAATTAATTCGTCAAGTCTATAAATTGCTACACATTATTGTGTATCCCCCAGAACTCAGATAAATCGATAAATTATTGATCATCATGTTCCAAATCAACAATAAACAACTAGCACTACAGGAAAAATATCCTTTGATCACAGGAAATCCCGTATTTGAAAGTGTATTTCCCGTGTTTAATTAATTTAGTCACGGGAAATTACCGTAATATATACCTCTGTGTCTAATTGTAGAGATCACGGTAAATTCGTACCGTAACAAGTTATAACTAGTCACGGTAAAATTTCCTGTGATAGTTTGTACCTATTAATCACGGGAGGACCCGCGACCAATACTCAATCCTGCTACACAAAACCAACCAAAAAACTCATTTAAATACAGGATTTACATGTTTTAACACCGCATTTACCGTGACAAATCATCTCCCATCCCTGCAAGTACGACGAAATACAGCCGGTACGACCAAGACGGGTGATGCGGAGCAGCTTCTTCAGCTCTAACCCCGGCGGTTAAGCTCTCCAGGTCTTGATAGTAGTCTGGAGCATCATGATAATGATACGGCCATGGCGGATGACGTGAAGACAGCGGATACGACGGCAGCGGTTGGTGTAGTGGCGGCAGGTAGTTGGCGCAGCCAAGGTCTCGACGAGGAAGAGATCCCTCGTAGCTTCGTGCCCAAGGCGGCGGTGGCGGTGGCATGTGGAACTCTTCACCTGGATGTTGCGTGAAAATCGGCATAGCGAATTCATCCCCTAACCGGCCAGGCTCTGATACCAATTGATGCGTGACGGCGGAATCTTACGTATCGTGGAACTCAAATTCTTCTACGAAACTAATGAAACGCGATAAAGATAGCTAAATTACTCTAATTTACTTTACTCTTATTCATTGCTTCCCCGAAAACTAAATCACAACGTACATATTTATAGGACTACTCTCACTACCCTTTCCCTATCAACCAAGCTAGGTAAACTAATCCTAACCCAACAAGTAAACTATAACTTACTCAACAAGACACGATAAAGTAATACGAATATCCCACGGGTGCTATCCTCCATCACATCTCACGAGCTGATCATCTGAGAGTCGATCGGCATAACAAGAAGCAAAAGTTTACTAAAGAAAGCATTCGAGACAAAGCAGATGCAAGCAACAAAATTAAAGCTTCCGACCTCCGAGTGAAGGTAGAAATTGTAAAACACTAACCCAAATTAACACAAGATAATCATCAAAGCGTACATTGGCTGGCCTGGCATAATGAAAGAAAGAAAAAAAAAAAACAAAACAAAACGCGGGACTCGATCGATCTATCAAGGGAAAGCTTCAATAAGGGATCGGACGCCCAGAACTGGATGGATTTTGAAGCTAGAGAAGCCAGCAGCTACAAGCAGCTTGTTCCACTGCTTCTCATCTCGCTCTCTCCCATTAACGAGAGCCATCATCAGCATATCAAGGCAATGATCAATCTCATCCCCATAATATTGTGAATTATTAGAAACCTTGTTCTTGTTCATTCCACGAACAGTGTCTACGATGATAACCTTGCCGCCACACTTTGATGAGACTGCTTCTTTGCAGAGCTTCAGCAGCTTCACGCAGCGTTCATCGTCCCAATCATGGATGACCCACTGCGAATAGGCAGAACAATCAAACACGAAATATGGAGAATTAGTTGGTCTCAATAATTCGACAATAAACCTTATACCTACCATATACTAAAACGCCCACGCGCGCTCAAATGAAAGTGCTTGAAATTCCGCACAAGAATTCAAATTAATTCCCGGTGATTATACGGAATTCGAACATAAGATTTTTTGGTCACGAAAAGGTGCTAAGGCGGACCTTGAGTAAGATGGCATCTGCTGAGGGAATATTTTGGAACATGTCCCCGGCGATAAACTCAACCCTAGGATGAGCCCCTTGCAGCTCTTTGACGACGTGCGGGAGGTCCAAAACAGCGCACTTCATATCCGGAAACGCTTCAGCCACGGCCGCCGTCACCGTCCCCGTACCGCCGCCGACATCCACCAACGACGCAACGCCCTGGAACACGTGCATGCACCTCGAAAGCAGGGCCCCGACAAGCAGTTTCGAGTCGCTCGCGAGGCTCTCATGAAACAGTGCCTTCAGCTCCTCACCACCGGTCCCGCCGCCGCCGCCGCCCACGTAGTCCCAAAACGACATGCCGTTCGCCATCTCAAAAGGCGTAGTAGCACCGCGGCTGCTGCCACCGTTGACGACCACGTCGTCGTGGCCGTCGTCTCGTCGGAGCCAGGTGCTGAGGACGGACCACTGGTCCTTCATAGCAGGGTGGAGCTGAAGCAGCACCAGCGCCACCTGCTGCTGAGGATGGTCCCTCAGTAGCAGGCGAGACGCTGGAGTCAGCGAGTAGTGGGTCCAGTCGGTCGCCTCTTCTCCTTTCGGTGGTTGGATGGAGAAGAAGAGACCGCCGGACTTGGTGCTGAGGATGCGCATGAGGCAGCCGAAAGCTTCTTCTTTCGTCGGTGGGATTTGGAGGATGGAGATGAGCTGAGAGAGTAAGATGCCGTCGGCCGCGGGTGGTGGCCGGCCGTGTTTGTGGATGGCGTCAGGGATGCCTAGCTCGATGGCGCATTTCCTTGACATGGTCACGATGTGGCTCAACGCCCAACTCCATATCTGCGCCTGAGCTTCGAGTAGCTGATCTTGAGAATCCATGAATGATCAATTATCTTAACGATTTGCCTGGAAGAGCAAATATAGTAAGTGACGGCCTCAATCCAACCCTCTAATAGTAAGTGACGGCCGTGGTCAACATGTAAATAATTAAGGGTGTTTTGTATAAATTTCAATAGGTTTTCAACAACCTATGGAAGTTTAAGAAGTAGAGGCCAAGTGACTCGTCTTTTGAATCGATAGTTTTTTTCTCCCCTCAAAATATAACAAAATTGATATTATTGTGGAGATCATAATCAATGTGTTTTTTTATCTCGAGTTAAAACAAAGGATATATGACCCGATTAAAAAAATTAGGATATTAAAAAAAGTTGTTTTTAACTGGTCAAGAAACTCTTGTGCACAATAATGTTACAAACATATGCTTCAAGAAGCAGAAGAAAACCTTTTCAATCCACTCTTCACTGCTGTGGTTCTCACCCAACTCAAAACAAGAGTGAACCTGTGTGCATTGCCAAATTCGAGAGCGTGATCCTGAGTTTCCACTTTCCACTAAATTTGCAGGAATGGCACTTATCAAATACCTTCTCCATTTAACATCATGGTTGAACATACCAATAAGGTTCATTAATTAGCAGCATTATATATTTGAGAGTCTTTGATGCAGCGCACCTGGAGGCCAAGCTTGATGAAGCTGTTCGTATGGAAGGCGGGACGGAAGACGTGATGCTATATGATGCATGACGATGATGCTTATGTTTATTTGTTTCATTATTATATTTGGTTTTCCTAATAGGTTTCGGTTAAGGGTTATTACTATTTAGTTTCATTATAGGTTTTGGTTGCTAGTGGGTTTTAGTATATAAGGACCCTTTATTCACGTGTAAGAACTCAACTTTTGGCTTTTGATTGTCAAGTAAACCTAAGGGTTTTCTTCCTAGTGGATTTCTGGGTTTTTCCTTAAGCTTGCGGCTTGAAAGCTTGTTTGTTTGAGGAGCTCGGCGCTTGCGAGTTCTTTGGTTTTCCGACTGCGTCAAGTGGTATCTGAGCCTGGTTTTTTCCTGTCTCTCTTCTAAGCTTGCACAGTCATGGGAGATCAACCGGTCACACGCGCAGATATCGAGGCTATGACCACGGCTTTTACCACGACAATCACAACCTTGACAATGCAAGTGACAAATTTGGCGGCACAGGTGAACAACAATCAAAACAACAATCCGAATAGGAGGGGGCGAGGCAGAAGAGTCGAGCGGGAAGAACGTCCTAGGAGGGCGCGCGGTGCTCAACCCGATTCCGATTCTGGTTCAGATGAAGAGGTCCGGGACGAGGACCAGGATCATGATGTTGACCGGCAAAATCGCAACGATTATCGGATCCAGGCGGACATCCCTTTGTTCTATGGAACTATGGGCGTTGAGGATTTTCTTGATTGGCAAATTGACGTCGATAGATTCTTTGATGTGATGGAGGTACCCGAAGGTAAACAAGTTAAGATGGTAGCCATTCGTTTGAAGAGTACTGCTGCAGTATGGTGGGACAAGCTTGTCGTCTAGTTTCTACCGGAAGATTATGAACAAATCTTATACAGGATGTAGATTAATTGTGCCCAGGGTCGGTGAAGTGTTACTGAATACACGACGGAGTTGCTACGTTACGCGGAATGCAATGAGCTGGGAGAAACAGAAGGGCAAAAAGTCGTTCGATACATCAATGGGATGAAGGGTTCAATTCAAGAAAAGATAGGTCTGCAAACTGTGTGGACTGTGGCGGAGGCCTTAACCCTAGCATTGAAGGCTGAATTGATGGAGAAATCCCGCAGGAATATTCCCCCTTTTCGTCGATTCCTTTCCCCGGGAAATCCTGATGTTGCTAGTGATAAGGATAGGGCGATGGGTGCCAAAGAACTCTAGTCCACCACGAAACCCAGTGGCGGCACTTCCAGCTCAAACAAAGGACCAGTCCCAAAGGCTCCTAACCCGTACGTGAGACCCACGAGAGATAATTGTTTTCGCTGTGGTGGCCAAGGCCATCGTTCTAATGTATGTCCTTCCCGGAGAACAGCAGCAGTCTTGGATGAGACAATTGGAGTGACTAACGATCTGGACGAAGAGGAGGAGAGTAACTAGTATGAACGACTCAAGTTTGCTGACGAGGAGTCCGAGGACGTAGTAAATATCGTGCTTCAGCGAATCCTGTTATCGATGGCAGATGATGGACAACGCAAAAATCTTTTTTCGGACACACGGTTCTATTAATAGTAAGGTGTGTAACCTTATTGTGGACAATGGAAGCACTGAAAACCTAGTGTCCCAGAGGCTGGTCGCATACTTAGAACTCCCTACTGAACCTCACGCTAAGCCTTATGTGCTAGGTTTGGTCAGAAAGGGCCGCAGGTAAAAGTCACGCGGACTTTGCATGTTTCCTATCTCGATTGGAAAACACTCCAAGGAGGAGGTCGTGTGCGACGTTCTCAACATGGATGTGTGCCATGTTCTCCTAGGGCGGCCGTGGCAATATGATAACGACATTACCTATCGGGGCAAATATAATGTAATGATGTTCAGTTGGGGTTCGCATAAAATAGCGATGGCCCCAGTCTTGAGTTTCAACAAACAACCGGGCAAGGCAAGGTATAGTTTTCTCACCATGGTGCATGATGAACAGGAGCTGGTGGAAGCCGTGAAGGAAACCGAGTGGATTTGTCCCGTCGTTGTGAAAGGATTGTTGCATGCCGCAGGGGAAGAGACTTACACACCATCGGAAGTGCAAGAGATATTAAAGGAATTTGGGAAACTATTATCGGAGGAGCTGCTTGGTGCCCTGCCGCCCATGCGGGATATTCAGCACCATATTGATTTGATTCAGGAGCCAGTTTACCGAATTTGCCCCATTACCGAATGAGCCCAAAGGAGAATGAGATATTACGGGAGCAGATTGAAGACCTCTTGAAAAAAGGATTCATACGTGAAAGTATGAGTCCATGCGCGGTACCTGTGTTGCTCGTACCAAAGAAGGGTAACCAATGGCGCATGTGCGTGGATAGCCGGGCAATCAACAAGATTACTATTAAGTACAGGTTCCATATCCCACGGCTAGAAGATATGCTTGACGAGTTGGCCGGTTCGAGAGTGTTCACGAAGATCGATTTATGAAGCGGATATCACCAGATCCGCATTCGACCCGACGATGAGTGGAAAACGGCGTTCAAAAGCAAGGATGGGTTATACGAATGGCTAGTCATGCCGTTTGGGTTGTCAAACGCGCCCAGCACTTTCATGTGTTTGACGAATGGCTAGTCTATTTCGATGACATACTAATTTACAGCAAAACCAAGGAGGATCACCTAGGCTGAGGCGTGTATTTCAAGCTTTACAGGAAAATGAGTTGTACGTCAACTTGAAGAAGTGCACTTTCTATACCGACAAGCTTTTATTCTTGGGATTTATCGTGGGTGCTGAAGGAATTCAAGTCGATGAGGAGAAAGTTAGCGCCATCCGCAATTGGCCTACGCCTGCGACTGTTTCGGACTTCCGAAAGTTTCCACGGGTTAGCTACCTTCTATCGCCGATTCGTGCGCGACTTCAGTACTATTACTACACCTATTACTGAGTGCCTGAAGAAAGGGAAGTTTCACTGGGGTCCTCCGCAAGAGCGTAGCTTCGAGATGATGAAGGAAAAGCTCTGCACCGCGCCAGTCCTTGCCCTCCCCGACTTTGACAAAATTTTCCAGGTTGAGTGTGATGCTAGCGGGGTTGGAGTAGGCACTGTACTCTCACAAGAAAAACGCCTTCTTGCCTTTTTCAGCGAAAAACTAAGTGAATCTCGACAACGATGGAGCACTTTTGATCAGGAATTTTATGGAGTCTTTCGTTCTCTACGACAATGGGAGCATTACCTCATACAGCGGGAGTTCATCCCGTTTACTGACCATCTCGCACTGAAGTACCTCCATAGCCAAAAGATTATTAACAAGATGCATGCACGATGGGTGAGTTATTTACAAAAATTTCCTTTCATCATCCAGCACAAATCCGACCGTTAACCAATACTAAGCAGATAATCAAGGATATACACATGAGGTAAGTTGAATCCATTTTTCACCAAATCCCAGCTTTCGCATAATCCTCTACATAAAATCCACTAAACTTTATCATAGACTTTCACCAAATCAAACTTTATAGCAAAAAAAAAAAAAAAAAATCATTCTTTCCCTTGTTCCTATATTTCACTTATAGACGTGTGTATTGAGTGATGATAACTACAATAATCAAAGCAGCTAGCTAGCTAGCTTACGGATCTTCCGACCAAGCCCGTGAACTTGTGCACGCTACCCTGAACTGATCGATCATGCAGAAAACCCATTAAAATTTTTTTAGATAGACTGCATACTATTTCCTTTATTATTGTCATGGTTTACGTGAATTTGACCAATTGTCGGTACGTGGTTAGCAAAACGAAAACAAATTCTCCCCGTTGTTAATATATACATGATAAACTGTGATCATGAAAGAACGCGGGGAAATAATGGAATCTAGGGTTAAAAAAAAAAGGAAACTAATAACGATGGGTGCAGGCGTACCTACCAAGTAATCACATGATGTATATAGAGCTTATCCTATGCAATTACTTGAAAGATTAATAGACATTAATTAGGATCCAATTAACATCAGATAATTAAACTAGCCACAGAGTAGTACAAAAAAAGCAGCATGCATCGCCCGGCGCACAGCCCTCTCAAAGCTTGCGAGACGTTGAAACCAAAAAGAAGTGTAAAATATATAGTGAGGGTTTCAAGTTTCTACTGTCTGAATAACCAAACCGTAAAACTTATGATGAGAAAACGAAGAATCAAAACCATATTGTGATCATTGTGACTTTGTAAGTGGGGGATGATTATGTTTTTGTTTGTTCAGACTGAACCGAAAAAAAGGGTTATCGATTTGGGTTTCGATTATTGGAGATTGTCTCCACTATAAGCTGATCAAACCCAACCGACCAATATATAATTTCGCGGAATACATTAAATTTGCACGCCTAATTTTTCTCTCTCAGCCGCTAGTTAATCTTAAATTTGCGCGTGTAACATTTCTCGCTCAGCCATTATTCAAACTAGGGGTGGCTATACGGTCCGGTCCGGTTAAATTGGCCCAAATTGATCCGGTCCGGTCTTTTTGAAAATATAAGGACCGAAGATTGGATTGGATACAGTCCGGTCTTGATCCGGTCCAGTTTTGATCCGGTCCGGTCCCAATTCGGTCTTGATTTTACATTGAGATTGTGGGATTTGAGTGGCCTAAGGCCTTAAAGGGTGAGGAGTTGGTTAAGTTTTGTACTAAGTGCAAAGGTTTGTGACCGTTTATGCAAATTACCCTTAAGTTTTGGGTGTTGAGCTCTCTTATCCGGTCTTTATTCGGTTTTTTACCTCAAATCTAAACCCAAAGATTGGATTGTTTACTATCCGGTCCCGGTCCGGTCTCGGTCCGAGTTATACGGTCTGGTTTCCGATTTTTAATCCGGTCCCGGTCCAAATAGCCACCCCTAATTCAAACATAAGGACATCAATTTATCTTGGCTCAGGAGAAAAATGAGAATGTTTGTAGAAGATGGATTTTCAAATTGTTTATCAGTTTTTGTGAACTTCATTTTTTACTAGGTCGGATTGGTTGGATAATAAATTTTACTCTTGTTTTTTACAAATATGGATTTTCAATGAGCAATAGCAATGTTGTTTCAGTTGCAAATTAATAAGGGTATAGGTGAATTTTTTTAATCTAGTTTAATTCTGAACATATTTCAAAATGATTTGAGAATTCAATTCAATATATTTCTAAAAATTTAAATATTTCATTTCAAACATAGAAATTTAACGAATTTTATACCGGAATTCATTTTGTTTTGTTCCAAACGGGTATTGTAGTGAATGATACTTATTCCAATATATAGAGATAATGTGTTGGAGTCTTACGTATCACTATCTTTTTTTTAGGAAGGCTGAATTGGCACAAGAAGATACAGGGGAGACAGGAAATAAACAGGGGTCGACAACAGCAGGAGTCCGAAATGAGGAAACAGGGGAGGCAATGCCGGAGGAAGACCCGGGTATCCCGCCGGGTTTTGAACATAAAAATGTTGTGGTTATGGTGGCCGATTCCAAGCCACCTGGGGCGCCATGAATGGCCTGGTTTGGAACTGTCGGGGCTTAGGCCAGTCTCCAACAGTTCGACAGCTAAGGAAGCTGGTTCGGAAGCACAAACAGACGTTTGTCTTTCTTTCAGAGACAAAGAAGAAGAAATCCTATATGGAAACGAAGAGGAGGAGTTTGAAGTTTGCAAAGAAGTTTTATGTATGCCCGGAGGAAAGGGCGGGGGGTTTAGCTCTTTGGTGGTTAGATGGTTTTCCTATTCGTGTCTTAGATTGCAATCGGTTTTTCGTTGATGTTTTTATTGATGTTGAAGGGGTTTTTTTGGCTACTTTTGTCCACGCCCCGTCGGTTCCGACTAGACGTAGAGAATTTTGGGACCTTATTAGTAACCTTAGAACTAATGTTGATGACAAGTGGGTTGTAATGGGAGATATGAATGCGGTGCTTTTTCGGAAGAGAAGCTGGGTGGGGGCCTGCCTCGTGCGGATTCTGTTATCCCTTTCAAGAATTTTGTGTCTGAGAATGCAATAATGGATCTTGGTTACTCGGGCTATCCTTTCACTTGGAAGAATAATCAAGAAGGACAAAGAAGAGTTGAGGTGAGATTGGACAGGGTCCTATGCACATCTACTTGGGTTTCTACCTTTGATGAAGCTAGAGTCTTCCATGAGCTGCCAATGGAGTCAGATCATAGTCCTCTGAGAGTTGTGCTTGAGGGTGAAAACCCGAGGACGAACACTCCCTTTAGATTTGATGCAAGATGGTTACAAAGAGAAGAGTGTCATGACATTGTCAATAAGCTTTGGGAGGAAGAAGGGTATTGTGAAGAGAGAATGGCAAAATCTGAAAAGGAATTAAGAAGATGGGCAAAACAGGTTTACAAAAATCAAAACAGAAGGTGTGAGGAGATTCAGAAAAGACTTGGTGATATTCTACTCATGGAGCGGATAGAGGATGTGATTAATGAGGAGAAAACTTTGATGAATGAACTGGCAGCAATTTGGAAAGATGAAGAACTCTTTTGGAGCCAAAGATTGAGAGTCAATTGACTTGAAAAAGGGGATCAGAATTCAAAGTTCTTCCACTCATCTACCATCCACAGGAAGCTAAAAAATAAGATTGCGAGATTGAAGGATGATAATGGTAACATCATCTCTAATAATGATGACATCAAGACTCATGTTAAGGACTATTATGAGCATATTTTCACAAAGACTACTGTCGTTGGGCTTGAAGATCATCAGGATTTTCCTAGACTTGTTTCACAAGAAATGAATTTGGATATGTGTAAAGACCCTACAGTTGAGGAAATTAAAGAGGCAGTTTTCGATCTTGGCCCTTCCAAATCTCCTGGTCCGGATGGGTTTGCGGGAAGCGTTTTCCGCAGGTTTTGGGGTAAGATAGGACCTGACTTTTGCAGGGAAGTTCAAGACTTTTTCGGTCCTCAATAATGCCGATGGGTTGGAATGATACCCATATTGCCCTTATTCCCAAAGTTCAAGCTCCTAAATCGATTAAACAGTTTAGGCCGATAATTTGCTGCAATTATCGGTACAAAGTCATTTCAAAGACTATCGCTAGTCGAATGAAGAAATGCCTACCAGGACTTGTCTCAGAAATGCAGGCGGCTTTCACAGGTGGTAGGATGATTCAGGATAACATTATTATTGTCCATGAAATCCTTCATCATTTCAAAACTCGGAGGAATGGGGATTGGGACATGATGGTCAAACTTGACATGCGAAAAGCTTACGATCTTATGGACTGGGATTGTTTGGATGCGATTCTTAATGCCTATGGTTTTGCTGATAAGTGGAGAGGATGGATAAAAGAGTGCGTCCGAACTGTTAGCTTCTCGATCGTGCTCAATGGAAGTCCTACGGACAAGTTTTACCCCTCTCGAGGAATTCGACAAGGAGATCCGATTTCTCCCTTCCTGTTCATTCTCATGTCAAATGCTTTGTCTTTCTTGATCGACAAGGCTGTTGAGAAAGGGGAAATTCAGGGAATCAAGCTTAATTCGAATTGCCCTCGGATCTCCCATTGCTTATTTGCAGATGATACGGTTATCTTTGGAAAATCAAGTGTGAGGGAGGTGGATCATATTCAAAGCATCTTATAGAAGTATGGCGGAATTACAGGACAAGAGATCAATGTTGATAAATCTTCAGTTTTCTTCAGTAAGAACACCCCGGAAGCGCTCAAAAGCATTATCACAAATAAATTGGGATTTCCACCTTCTATTTGCCACGACAAGTATCTAGGTGTTCCTACAAGTTGGTGGCGTTCAAAGAAAGAGACTTTTCTGTTCTTACTGGAAAGAATGGAGAAAAAGGGGGAATCTTGGAAGAGTTTACTTTTATCACCGGGCGGAAAGGAAGTACTTCTGAAGGCAGTGATTCAGGCAATTCCGACCTACCTGATGAGTGTCTTTCTCCTGCCTCGTTCCCTCACCAACATGATAGATTCGGTGTTGAAAAGATTTTTCTGGTCCGGATCGATGAGGAGAAAATCTTTAAATTGGTGTGATGCAAAAGTCCTGGAAAAACCGAAGGAGGACGGAGGACTCGGCTTCACAAATTTTCATTTGTTCAATGTTGCTCTCATCGGTAAACAGGTCTGGAGGTTGTTGCAAAACCCAAATGCAATTTGGGTGAGGCTGCTTAAAGGTCTTTATTTTTCCAATGGAGACTTCTTTTCGGCAGCTAAAGGAAGAAATGGATCATGGATCTGGAGCGGGCTCTATGAAACCAAAGAGAGACTCAAGCTAGGCTTGCTCAAGAGTATTATGTCAGGTAATGATTCATTGTTTAACACTGACCCTTGGATACCTTCTGCCCCTGCTTTCTCCCTTGCCACCTTAGGTCTAAACCAGTCAAAGGTGAGGGAGTGGATTCATCAAGATGAATGATTATGGAAGGTGGAGAGTTTGCGAGAGGAGTTTGCTGAAGGAGTAATTCAGGATATCCTGCGCATTCCGATTGGACCAGCCGAGACACCTGATCAATGGGTTTGGAAGTTTACCAAGACGGGAGCTTACACAGTGAAGTCCGCCTATCGAGCTCTGAGGGAATCGAGGGATCAGTTCGTGCAGCCTACGGCGTTGGTCCAGTCACGTCCTAATAGTGATGACTGGAAATGGTTATGGTCGCTCTCCCTTCCACCGAAGCTCCGTTTCTTCATTTGGAAAATTGCAAAGGGTGCCATTGCTACGAGATCCCGACTGTTCGATCGAAGATGTGCTCCTAACCCTTGCTGCTCAATTTGAAACCACAATATTGAATCTATCTATCACTGCTTCTTCTCTTGCCCCCATGCAGCAGCCACTTGGGAGCTGATGGAGCTTTCGCCTTTCGTTCCCCCCGAGGAAGGCCTTTTCTCAGAATGGTTCTTCAACCTTCAGGAAGCGCTGCCAATGGAGGCTATCAAAAGAAGTGTCTGTTGCTTATGGAATATTTGGATTGCTCGCAATGGGTGCATATTCGAGGATAAGGTCATTTCCCCGACCTCTTCTGCAGTGCTAGCTGATAGAGATTTACATGCCATAGAGGAAGCGCGAAGCTCCACCTCTGCTCTGTCTGCTACGAGACCAGCTGTACTGCAATCTCAGCCTAGGGGATCCCGTTCTCATCCTTCACCACCGCCAGGTCCTTTCCAGAGGATAATTCACTTTGATGGCTCGTTTTGTGCGGATTCACAGGAGGCAGCTTATGGGATTACGATTTCTAATACCCATGGTCAAGTTTTGGACGGCAAGGCTAAGAAAGTCTTTTGTTCCTGTCCTATTCAAGTGGAAGCTCTTGCAATTCTTAACGCAGTCCTGTATGCGGTTCGGGATGCTTGCTCGACTTGCATCAGATCTGATTGCCAGATTCTGACAAGTGCCTTGAAGCTTGCTCCTGACCTTTGGGACGTATCATTACACCCCTCCATTCGGCTCCATGGATCTCTATTGAGTTTGTTCCCCGTCGTCTCAATGGGCTTGCTGATTGGGTGACACGTAATGAACGGATGGGTTCTCTCCCACTAGATTGGTTGATTATTGCCGATCTTCCCCTGCTGTAAGAATGTAACTGGTTTCCCTTGTTGGGTTATGGAATAAAAAGTCGTTTTCTCATTGTAAAAAAAAAACTATCTGTTTTTCTCCATAGCCCCTAGGTCCTACGTATCACCATTACTGATTGACGGAAATTGATAAGTAATCCCGCATTGAGTAAAAAATAAGCTCCCCTTGATTTTAAAGGTTTGTCTACTTTACTTAATAATTTTTTACTAAAGGTTAGCAACAATTAATTAACCAAATAAGTTAATCAAAAACCAAGAATCTCTTCTGACAAACACACGGACCTCTTATTCAAGCATTGCCGAAATGAAAGTGACAAGGATCAAGGGCATGCCCCTTAATTCGGAGAAAAACCAGCAAGCTAAACTAGAGCCAAAATGAAGAAAGAAACGAAACAGCTAGCCAAAGGATACAAAGAAAGTCAGGGAGCAGGAATATGGAATGCAACGGGAACCAAGCACAATGGACTCTTTCTACGTAATGTGAGTCCAAATCGTTCCGTCATATCCAGATCTTCAGGTTTCATTTTACCGGGAAGTTCCCAGTCAAAATTATAAAGTAAATTCGCTAGCCCAAGTTTAACAATAGCCATCCCGAAAGAAATTCCTGCACATGTCCTCCGCCCTCCACCAAATGGGAGGAACTGAAAGTCTCTTCCCTTATAGTCCACTGAACAATCAAGAAATCTTTCGGGATTGAATGCCTCGGGGTCAGCACCCCATGAGCGCGAGTCCCTCCCAATTGCCCAGACATTAACCATAACTTTAGTTCGAGCCGGAACAAGATATCCGTCGACAACCAGATCCTCTTGGCTTTCTCTTGGAGCAAGCAATGGGCCGTCAGGGTGCAGCCTCAAAGCCTCCTTGATAACTGCATTCATGTACTTCAATTCGACTAGGCCTTCTTCATCAACTTTCCCCTTCTCGCGGAATGTTTGCCGAACTTCATCTTGCACTTTCTTCAGCACTCTTGGATTTCTCATCATCTCTGACATGATCCACTCTATTGTTACTGATGAAGTCCCGCTCCCAGCAAGGAATAATTCCTAATACATACATACATACATAAAATTTGAGAGAAAAAAATGAGAAACCCATGTGATTTGTTATATGTTAGGAAACGGCATATCATGCATGATTGAACCTCTTTTAACAACTCGAGTTATTGAAATCAACTGGTTCTTGACACCATATACTTACCGTAGCTACTGCTTTGATGTTGTCGTCCGTCAATGGGGATTCCAGATCGGTACAATTTGCCTGGAGATCCAGAAGAACATCGATGATATCATCCACTGCAGCAGCCGAATGATGAGCACCACCACGATTGCCTCTTCTTGCTCTGTGCTCTTTGATTATCTCCTCAAGTATGACATCCGCTTCTCGATGCAGAGCGGTGAGCTTGGCTCGAAATCCGGTCAGCCATGGAAGAAATCTGACGGAAGGGTAGAGATCGGAGACGCTCAAGCCGCTAAGCGCATCGGACATACTGTTCACCACGGCCATGAAAGATTCTGTGTTCTCCCGGACCGAACCGAAAGCAGACCGGGCGATCACTCGGTTCGACACCCAGAACAGGATCTCCCCCAGATCCACCGCGGCTTGGCCAGTGCCGCGGCTCTGGCCAGCCGAGATGCGGCGCACCATGTTGAGGCACAACTCATCCTCTCTGATCGAGCGGTAAGAGAGGACGCGCTTCTCGCTGAGCAGCTCCACCACACAGATCTTGCGGATCCGGCGCCAGTACCACGTTCAGGACGTCCCTGGCGGCCTCCGCGGAGGAGACCACCACGTGGTGCAGCTCCCCAAGCTGGAGCTGCATCACGGGCCCGTAGTTTTCGGCCATGTCGCGGAGGCGGCGATGCGGCGGGGACGCGGTCAGCGCCAGCTGGTGGAGGTTTCCTATCACCGGCAGCTTCCATGGGCCTGGCGGCAATGTACTCTTAGATGGTCTCTTGGAGATCAAGCTGGTAATTGCTAGCAGGATGGCCGTAAATAAGGTGAGGAGGAGGAGGAAAGGGATATTGGCTGATGTTGACAACGATAAGGACTCCTGCAGCAACTGAAACTGTTCCATGGCGAGGCGAGACACAACAAAATTAATGGCTAGCTGTAACTTGATTGCAGATTGAACGCCATGCACGGCCTCGGCTTATTATATAGACACTAGACAGCTAGCTGCAGAAAGGCTCTGATACCATCACGTAAAGAAACAATTTATCCCAGAAATAACAGGATTGGAGTTTTGTACGATGGAGTCGAAATTAATTAGTAAAAAATTAAGCAAAAAAAAAAAAAAAACTGAAAGGACCCCAATATCCACTCGCCAATTAATAGTCGCTAAAAGTCCAAGAAATCGTTGACATAAATGTTCGTGACCAGTTGCCTGTTTTTGTAACGACTTACCAAGGCCTTCTATGATCACGTAATTTAGGCTGTTCTTTGGTTTCTTTTTGGGTTTTATGTTCCTTCGCTTTCTATCTTTCTGTCTCTACACTATAGGCAGAAATAAATCTGCAAAAATCGGTGCTTAATGGACTTATCATCCATGGAGAATAGGAACAATAAACTTCATTATTGGTGGAGAATAGCCTCGGCCAGAATCCGTGATCTGCAACCTCCAGAATCGAAAGAAAATTGCATTTCGGAAAAATTGCACGAAATCTGTGATGGTACCCCTTTGGAATCTGCCAAAATTGACCGAGAATAAATCCGCCCAAATCGGTGCTTAGTGGACTTAATCATCGTTGAAGAATAGCCTCAGACCGAATCCGTGATCTATAGCCTTCAAAATCCAAAGAAAATTGCCTTTCGTCGCCCAAAAAATTACCAAAATGTCATCCGTAAATAAATTGGGCCAAATCGGTGCTTCATGGACTTATCATCTGTGGAGAATAGGATCAATAGACTTCATTATCGGTGGAAAATAGCCTCAACCTGATTTTGTGATCTGCAACCTTCCTAATCGAAAGAAAATGGCATTTCGGAAAAATCGTCCAAAATCTGTGATGGTACCCCTTTGGAATCTGCAAAAAATTGACCTAGGAATAAATCCGCCCAAATTGGTGCTTAATGGACTTAATCATCATTGAAGAATAGCCTCAGGCCGAATCAGTGATATGTAGCCTTCAAAATCCAACGAAAATGACCCTTCTTCGCCCAAAAAATTACCAAAATGCCATCCAAAAAATAAATTGGCCCAAATCGGTGCTTCATAGACTTATCCTCCGTGGAGAATAGGATCAATAGACTTCAATATGGGTGGAGAATAGCCGCAAACTGATTTCGGGATCTGCAGCCTCTAGAATCGAAAGAAAATGACATTTCGGAAAAATCGCTCAAAATCTGTTGTGGTACCGCTTTGGAATCTGCCAAAAATTGACCTAGAATAAATCCGCCCAAATTGGTGCTTAATGGACTTAATCATCGTTGAAGAATAGCTTGAGACCGAATCGTGATATGTAGCCTTCAAAATCCAAAAAAATGGCCTTTCGTGCCCAAAAAATTTACGAAAATGTCATTCAAAAATAAATTGGCCCAAATCGGTGCTTAATGAACTTAACATCCGTGGAGAATAGCATCGACCTGATTCGTGATCTGCAACCTCCAGAATAGAAAGAAAATGGCATTTCAGAAAAATCGTTTGAAATTTGTGATGGTACCCATTTGGAATCTGCAAAAAAATGATCGAGAATAAATCACCCACATCGGTGCGTAATAGACTTAATCATCGTTGAAGAATAGCATCACGCCGAATTAGTGATCTGTAGCCTTCAAAATCCAATTAAAATACCCTTTCGTTGCCCAAAAAATTACCAAAATGCCATATGAAAATAAATTAGCCCAAATCGGTGCTTCATGGACTTATCATCCGTGGAGAATAGGATCCATAGACCTCATTATTGGTGGAGAATAGCCTCGACCTGATTCCGTGATATGGAGCCTCCAAAATTGAAAGAAAATGGCATTTCGGAAAAATAGCCCGAAATCTGTGATGCTACCGCTTTTGAATCTGCCAAAAATTACCCGAAATAAATCTGCAAAAATCGGTGCTTAATGGACTTAATCATCGTTGAAGAATAGCCTCATGCCGAAGGAGTGATCTTTAACCCTTTCATCTGTCTCTCCAGTTGTACCATCTGTTTGAACACAGACTCGATGTTTGAACACAGACTCAATGCTAGGAAGATGGGCATTCATGAGAACTTGTGTTCTTGCTACCTGGTAAGTATGATTAAGCCCTTGCATGAACTTAATGATTAGATCCTCTTCATGGTACATTTGAATTGCATAGTATGGGCTGTTATAAGCGTAACATAAAATATAAATAATATTATTGTAAGTGTCATTAAGCTCTTGCATGAACTTAATGCCAGAATCGAAAGAAACTGTCATTTCGGAAAAATCGTCCAAAATCTGTGATGGTATCCCTTTAGAATTTGCAAAAAAATTGTCCCGGAATAAATCCGCCCAAATCGGTTCTTAATGGACTTCATCATCGTTGAAGAATAGCCTCAGGCCGAAGTCGTGATCTATAACCTTCAATATCCAAAGAAAATGGCCTTTCGTCACCCAAAAAATTACCAAAATGCCATCTAAAAATAAATTGGCCCAAATCGGTGCTTAATGGACTTATCATCTGTAACACCCCAACTTTGGGTTCAGATTCGACCAAAATACGAAAACTGTTGGGTTAACGATTACGTACGAAGGGTTGCAACCGTGAATTAGTAATAATAATTTATTATATTATTATTACTAATTAATATATAAATATATATATAAATTGTACAGGAGAGGGCCGAGCGGCCACTCCCCATCTCTCCAAACCCCATCAAATTCCCCACTCCCCCATATAAATCACTCCATCACTCTAATAAACCGACACCATCTTCATGGCATCACCACAGCCTACATCGTTACAATCGGGAGGAGAAGGTGGAAAGATCAGAAGAAAGAGAAGGAGAGGTGCCCAGAGACAGATCAGCCGCAACGACGAGACTTAACTTCGACAACCCAACAGTTCGATCAACGGAGTACTTAGAGGGACTCGCTCTCTGCGTAGAAAAAAAAAATCAAGGTCGATGGGTGCGGTGGCGGTCTCGGGAGTCGGGAACCAATCGATCTCAAAGTGAGTAAGCAGCGGCCGTGGGCATTCATGGGGATTCGGACCATTCATTGACAGCAGCAGTAGGATGGCAACGGCGATTCCACATGATTCTCGAGCGAGATCAAGAACAAGGTAACAAGTGCTTCCATAAGTTTGGTTGATGTTTAATGGGAAGTGTTCGTAAAAACTAGAGGGAGGGCTCGATGGGGAAGGATTGGATTCCAATAACGTGAGAGGTTTAAATGGGGTTAGATGTGCACGAATTTGGGACGTCGATGAATGGTTGGGATAGAAATTCATGGACTTGTCGATTAATTAATTGCATTGAGCTGGGGACATGAGTGAAATTGATGGGTGAAGAAGGCTTGAATCTTATGGGTACACGTTAGGGATTAATAAACAAAGCTATATGGATGAATTCTAATTCATGGCTTTTACGTGTGCATGTGTCCTGGGGAGAATAACCCATGTCAAATGGCCTCAAGGAAGAAAATCAAATAAGAATTCTTCACATTGGTTTGCACAGCACATTGAAGGGTAACTCAAGTAAATCGACTTTAAAATAAGGTGAGTGTAAAGGGGGTAAAATCTCCGTCGAGGTCTTTTAGTTTATGCCTATTTAATTCAGTTATGTTATTTAATTTTCAAGTAAGCGCGATTATGTGTGTGAGGCATCCCACCGCCTACTTAAGGTGGAGGCACGCGTTGTGCTATGTATGTATGTGTTTGTGATGTATGGATGATGAGAGGATAATTGAACCCCCGGGCGGTTGGGCCACTACTGGACGCGGTAGATGGTCGGGTCACTACTGGACGGCGATACGTAACGCAGTAGTTGACCGGGCATGGACTGGACGGCGATACGTAACGCAGTACCATTGCCTTGAGGATAGGGACACCGGACGGCGATACGTAACGCGGTGATTCCCCAGTAATAAGTATATAAGTTAAGGTAGTATCAGAGAACTTCTATGATTTAAGGATAAAAGTTGAGAACCTCTATGAGTTAAAGTTGAAATGAGTTATTAAGGATGAAAGTGAAAACGATTTTCATCTAAGGAAAGGAAGAGCTAATAACGTGTTTTAGCAAGGAGTTTTCTAAGGGCAGAGACCTTAGGAAGTAACGACGAGACTGACCCCTTCTCACTCACCAGGTTGGGGAAGGGTTAGCGGATGAGGATTTCGAGAAGAGGCAAGGCGATGCGAGTTGCCGCACCAGCATGGGCGAGACCTCAGGGAAAACAGCAAGGAGTTAGAGCTAGATTTAGTTTGAATATTTTGTTCATGATTATGAGTTTATGTACTGGAGATTCAAGGTTTAAAGATTCTATGTTAAGTTATTTTAAGTGTTTGAGATTGAGATTTTGCCGAAGTCTTGGGGCTTTTGTTTAAAATTCTTAAATAATGTCAGTTTGTGTATTTTAAAATATGGTTTTTGGGTTGCTCCGGAGTAACCGATTTTCGGTTTGAGTTATGGTTTGGTTTTTGAAAAAGGTCGGGTCGTTTCATCATCTGTGCATAATAGGATCAATAAACTTCATTATCGGTGTAGAATAGCTTCTACCCGATTTCGTGAACTGCAGCCTCTAGAATCGAAAGAAAATGGAATTTTGGAAAAATTGCCCGAAAACTGTGATGGTACCCTTTGGAATCTCCCAAAAATTGACTCGGAATAAATCTGCCCAAATTGGTGATTAATTTACTTAATTATCGTTGAAGAATAGCTTGATACCGAATCTGTGATCAGTAGCCATCAAAATCCAAAAAAATGGCCTTTCGTCGCCCAAAAAATTACAAAAATGTCATCCGAAAATAAATTGGTCCTAATCAGTGCTTAATGGACTTATCATCCGTGGAGAATACGATCAATAGACTTCATTATCGGTGGAGAATAGCCTAGTCCTGGTTCCGTGATCTGCAGCCTCCAAATCAATAAAAAAATGGCATTTCGGAAAAATTGCACGAAATCTGTGATGGTACCCTTTTGGAATCTGCCAAAAATTGACCCTGAATAATT